CGCCCACCCCCCCCCCCCCTTTCCCCCTCCCAAAAGGTCTTTGATTGAGGGCGGAGGTAAGGAGTAAGCAAGGAATTATGTTCAACTCACACTCTACCAAGATTGATGATCTCCTTGGCGCCGGTGACTGAATTCGTCTTGACAGCGGCAATTGGCGTGTTAATCTTGAGCTGACCTTCGACAACATCAACACCTATGACAATGGGGCTGGTCTTGTTGAACACAGCGACAGGCTTGAGGACACAAGGGAAAACCGCCAGCATCTTGGATTCTTCCTTCTTCTTCTCCAACATTTCGTCCATGTGCTTGGTAAACGAGTCAAACAAGTGGTAGATGATATCAGCAGTAAAGATCTTTATGCCTTGTTCTTCAGCATACACTTGTGCTTCCTTGTCTACCTTGACATCAAAGCAAAGCATGACAGCATAATCTGGAGCCTTTTCCAGCATGATACCGCACTGCATGACATCTCGTTTATAAACGGGACCGATTCCAACATTTGCAACAGGGATCTTACAGTCCTTCAGGAAGTCCAGCAAGGCTTCCAGGGAACCAAGGGTAGATGCCTGGACACTGACCCCTCGACCAGTCTTTTCAACTCTGCTGAGCAGGCTTGCCAGGTCTGCCACTACTTCGTCTTCAATATCTTCTTCGTCATCATCAGGGCCGACAACCATTAGTCGAGAGCCAGCAATGGCGCCTTCAAGGCCAGGGGCACTGATCTTGACACCCAACGCAGCCTTAACTTCCTTATTGTGCACGTACTGTGACTTCAGGCGCAGCTCACGCAGGGGTGCTGGTGTTAGCAAGGCTCTGATATTTGTTTTGATAGCACCTTCCGTGCCACACAATACTATTCGGTCGCCTTCCCGAAGAATACCATTTGATAAAATCACATCGATGGTCATACCAAAACCCTCGATAGCCTTGACTTCGAGAACAGTAGCTTGGACCTCGGAAAGATACATAAGCGAGCCAACCATGCGCTCTTGAGTGAGCTGAACGATCAATTTGAGCATGTCAGGAATACCTTCTCCGGTGTGAGCAGACGTAGGTACCAGAGATACAAACTTGGACATGGACTTGTTCTCGTAAAAGAGTTCAGAATTGAATCCTTGCTCAGCAAACGCAAGTTTGGTCTCGTCCAATCGCTTCTTGAATTCATTGTGGACGGCCTTATTTTGCAAAGCCAGACTCTCGCGGAAACCGTTATTATCAACTTTCTTCCACCCGTAAAGTCTGTCAATCTTGTTGAGGGCAACAATGAATGGAGTTTTACGGTCTCGAAGGAGGCGCATAGACTCAAGAGTTTGAGGCTCTAAACCGTGCATAATATCCACTACTAGGATGGCAATATTGCAAAGAGATGAACCACGGGACCGCAAGTTGGAGAAGGACTCGTGACCAGGCGTGTCAATGACGAGCAGACCGGGTACCTTGAATTCAAACTCGTTGTTCTGGTTGACTACGGCAGTCTTCTGCTTGATAGCATCGACGGGAAAGTATGTAGCACCAATCTGCTGGGTAATGCCACCAGCCTCGCCTTCCTGGACATTGGTTTGACGTATTTTATCGAGCAATTTGGTTTTTCCGGTATCGACATGTCCGAGAATACAGCAAATAGGAGACCGCAGGTTGTCCTTGGATCGGGCTGCCAAGGCAGCTTGATGGGCTTTTTCCCTTCTCTCAGCAGCCTCCTTCTTGCGCTGCATTTCCGCTTGTTGGGCAGCTGAGAGTTCTTCGTCTTCCGATTCGGACTGATCATCATCATCGTCCTCGTCGTCATCGTCGTCGTCCCTTTCTTCATCCTTCTCCACATCGGGCTTGACGTCGCCTTTACCGTTTGTCTTGGTAGCAGCTGAATGTTCTTCTTCCTCGGAATCCGCATCCCAATTATCCTTGACATCGTCTTCTGAGGCAGCGGCGGCTTCCCAGTCATCCTCAATATCACTCTCCGCGGTAGCCTTCTCTGCGGCAGCCTTGGCCTCTGCCTCTGCCTTCTCGAGAGCGGCCTTCTCCTCGGCTTCTTTGAGCGCCTTCTCGGCTTGCAGCCGAGCTCTCTCCGCAGCTTCCGCAAGGGCTGCGTCCTCATCGACCTAGAATACAATTAGCACATGTTCCGCGATATGAGAGACTCGAGACTCTAACACAAGACGGGATCACACTCACTTTCTCGTTTCTGGGCTTCTTCTTCTTGTTATCATAAACCACCTTCTTCTTGGGCTCGTCAGATGACTCTTGTGGCCCGACCTTGATGCCTGCAGCCAACATTTGCTGGAGTTTACGCTCATTTCGGGCCTTTTCTTCTTTCTGAGCCTTAGTAAGGAATTTGCCCTCCTTCTTCAGCTGCTCGATTCTCTCCTTTTCTTTTTGTTTCTTGAGAGCCTTTGCTTCCTCTCTACGCTTGATCTCCTCCTCGGCAAGTCTTTCTTCCTCCTCAGCACGGGCCTTGGCTTCGGCTTGCATACGCTCTTCTTCCTCTCTCCTCTTTCTGAGCTCTTCCTGCTGCTTCTGGAGCATGGCGAGATGTGCAGGAATCTTCTTCTTTTTCCCTCCCGCCTCCGTACCAGCGGCAGGTGCCAGGCTAGCTGGGGCGGCGGTGGCATCTTTGGGGGGAGCTGCTGGTTTGCTTGGTTCTGCAGCCTTTGCTGGAGCAGTGGTCTTCTTCTTAGCGGCCTAATGTGAAAGAGAGAAAGTTGTCAGGCGTTAGCAAGCCGCAGAATTGAGGCGACATAGGGTCTTTGCTCTGAGAACTGGACAAGCTAGGCATCATAGGGCGATGCCCAAGTAGAGCCTTTGACATGCGGAGAAAAGACATACTTGTTCCTTCTTACGCTGCTTCTCACGCTCCTTTTTCAACTTTTCCTTTTCGGCTTTGGTGAGAATTCTGCCACCGTTGACATCATCATCATCATCCTCATCTGCGGGCTCGCCCTTTTTGGCCGCTGGCTTTCCCTTGGCTGCTTTACCTTTCTTTTCAGGCAACGCAAACTCATCCTCCAAGGTAGCCTCTTGTGGTGCCTTGGTGTTCAGCTCCGCCGGGCCGGCACCGGGGGCGTCTTCGCCTTGAACAAAGTCGTCATCTGCCAGGCCCTTCTTCTTTCGCTTCTCCTTGTTCTTTCGTAGCATGGCCATCAAACCACCTCCACCGGTGGCATCATCACCGTTGGCATCAGCATCGACATTGGCGTCAGCAGCAGCGTCATTCGGCTCGTTGGCGTGGGGTGCGATGGTTTCACCCAGATCGGCTTCCCAGTCGTCCTGGGCTTTCTTATTGCCCTTCTTCTTTGGCGGCATCTCGATGGATTCGTGCAGTTTAAGAGCGGCCGGAGGACACCAGAGCACAGGAAGGAAAATGAAATGAAATAAAATCAAGTAAAATAAAATAAATAACAATAGTGGTCTGCGACGAGACGAAAGCCAAGGCGTGGTTGGGCCGGCGCGAGAAGACCCTAAAAATTTTTGGTGATGCCTACCTGGGTGTTTGGTTTGTTTCCCCGTGACAAGCGGGACACTTTTTGGAACTTTAGTACGGTGGAGGAGGGGAAGGTGGAGGGGTCAACTGGTGTTGAATGCTGAGGGTTAGTGGACTAGGCCTGTCAACTGCCAGACATTGAGGCTCAGGCTGAAGTACCTAGGTACCTACCTAGGTACCTAGAGGTAGTGAACGGAGCAACTCTTCCGTACATTCAATGGACATGAGGCGACAAACCCAGGCGGGTGCACTCGAATAAAGTCAATATGGCGCCTAGGCGGTATTACTAACCAGACTTTACTGCAGAAGCCGCGCCCAGCAGGACACGCAAGCTGTAAACTGCTGCAAACTTGTACCTAGTAGGTATTTTAAATACTCCGTACCGAGATTGCGTACTTACCTAGGTAAGTAGGATGTTTTTTTTTTTTTTGGCGGGGCAGAAGCTGTTGGTTGATCTTCCCACACTTGCGACCACTACCAGTTGTGGTCGAGTATCGAAAGTTGATAGGAATCTGTTCCCCCCCCGGGCGGCGGGTGACATGTGAGAATTCCTCCATCTAGATTCATTCTCAAGAAGAGTCACTAGGTAAGTAGGGACTGAAGCGACTGAAGTCAGTTTTGCCGTTAGACACATCCCAAACTATGCTGTTGTTTCATTGTCTCCTCTTTCGAACGGCCGCGGGTGCAAACCTGCGTGTCACCCTGTTGATAGGTCCCCATTCTTTAGTTCAATCATATACGCCCTTCAAACCCAACTCCTACAATGCACGGTTAGAAGACAAACACGAGCAACAAACATAGGCCGCTGCCACCCTTTTTTTTTTTACATAAAAAATTGGCGTCCTATAAAGCCGGGGCTAAAACATAATTGAGAATATCGTATCCCAAATTGAAGTACGCAGCTTCTCTTTCCTCCTCCGAGTTCCCGATGCCGTCCCTGAACCTGTCTGTCCAGCGGCCACCATCTAGACCATCGAGATACTCACAAAAAAGATCCAGCCCGTCAGCTGTCCCAACAAGCTTCTCGAGAAGTCGGTTTTCCAGACAGCGATACAACAGATCACCGTCAATGTGCATTAGCTTTGGATGTAAGCGCGGTTCAATATCAACGTCGTCGTCTGACCCCGTGCTGTCCGAATCTGAGGGAGATCCAGCCATGGTCTTAAACAGCCTACTACGCTGCGCCAGAATTTGGACTAGGCTCAGAATTCGCCATAGCTCTAAGTTTATCAATGTGAAATGTCGTAGTGAGCCGTCGAGAGAAACCCCAAATACCTCGGATCCTTCTTTGCTGCTGGCCACGACGCCAAATCGATTCCGCGTCTCCGACCCTAACCACAGCGGCCGGCTCCTAGCGTGGGTAAATCGTCGGACGGAAGTGGGAAGTATTGCTTCAAAAATTGTCTGAAATTCCTTGCCTTTTTGGCCCCATGGAATCCATACGCCCACAAGCCCTCCTCTGTGGTCAGAGAGCATGGTAATTGGCCACCTGCCAACAACGTCAGAGTCCCACCCGTCTGTTCCAATGTCCGTCATATGAGTAGTTGTCCTCGATATAGCATCCGTATGTATCAGAGACATCGGACCGTCTTCTCCCGCCCTATGGTCAATTACTTCGAGGGAATGCATAGTAGTCAGCGCAAGAATTTTGCCGTTGAACACGCGAAGAGATATTACAGGAGAATCAACTTCATACTGCTTCATGGGCCGCAGTTTCTTCTCCGTCAGATCCAGGACATCCCAGTGAATAGTCTTATCGACGCAAAATATGATCCCGTCGTTGTCGCCAACAATAGAGTATATAGGCTTGGCCATCACTTTCTTGTAACGAGTCCAATAGTGCAGTCGTTTTCCGCCACCATCACCGGTGCGAGATTCCGATTTGTTCACTGACACGATAAGTAGCCTGCCTTCTTTCGTCGTCACCAAAAGGAAAGCAAAAGTCTTGCCGTCTTTCACATACAACCATTCGTTGAGACCATAAATTCTGTCTCCTGGGTGGCCAAGGCCCGAAATAAACTCCAAAGGGTTCCTATCCTTGTCACAAGCAGATGCAAGATGCATACCACTTTCAGGATCAATGAATGCTAAGGTAGATTTACCATCCTTCAGTAATGCAACCACTAAACAGTTCCACGCTTGCGAGAATATGACACGTGTAGGGGTACCGTTCAGAGGCAGGCTCCTGGGAACCAGGGAGCAGTGCGGCCATATTTCTGCAATCAGAAGCCTGGAGCCGGCAAGAAGCATGAGTGACATGTGACCACTGTAGCCAGATAAGCTAACACCAAGGCCAAACGCGGAATGAATGGGTGGTGACGGCATCGAGGCATCGTTCGAGTCTGTCAGCCAAATGAAATTTTTTTTTTGAAACTTGAGGGTCGACGGTGAAAAGTTCGACATCATCGTAATGTTGTTGTCACAGCAAGCCATGGTTGCGAAACCGCCGTCGAAGAGGCTGTGTGTTGGGAAGACATCGACTGGGGCCACGCCCATAGCTTCACTGTTCCAGGTGACGCGTTCCGACCTTTGGCCTGAGATTCTTAAATTCAATAGGTGTCCGCACCGAGTACCAGCAACAAACTCAGCAGCGTTAGTGCTTTCCCGTACGATACAAATGCTAGTCAGGGGTTCAAACAGGTGTGCTTCACTTGGGGCTTCAAAGGCAGAAGGGCCGACTAATGTACGAAGATTGAATTAGCGGCCTTAGCAATCAGTTTTGAGGGTCGACTTTTTTGGTTTGCCTACCTCTCTTTTTGTCAACAGCTTCAGCGACTATGGCGGTGCCATCCAGCGCATAGGCGAAGACCCATGAGGTGCTGTCAATAACAGAGCCACTGATCACAAAATAATCGCCTGCTGTTTTGAAGAGGGACACGCATGTAACTTCGCCCGCAATATCCCAAGATTTGACGGCTCGGATGCTCATCCCTTCAATTTGCAAAATGTGCAACTGAGAATTCCCATCGTTGTGTGTGGAGAGAACAAGAATGTCGTCTGCGCAAAAAGCATTCTCTGCACGAACACAAGGTATCCCGAGTATACTTTGCAGAGAGTGAAGTGATGTTCGAGAGTCTGATAACAGGGCGACGGAGGACTCAGTAACTTGAAGTATGAGCCCTGACTGGGCTTGGCAAGCATGCAACGTCCGAGACGTCAAGTCAAATGCGGTACTGTCGGGTGCTACTGCATCTACCTGACTGAAGTCACTAGAGAAATGCAGCAGTATGGAAGAATCAGGCAAGGCAAGCAAGCCAAACAATCCGTTCCCTTCCGGGCCGTTCATCGAGAACCCCCAGGCACACCTGATAGGTTCACCGGTCTCGATATCGAGCCCAATCCTGCCTTGGACGCCCCATCTCCATTGAGTTAAATTACCCCGAATGCCGCGACCAGACGCACTGAACAGGCTTTCCGGCTTTAGGGGTAGGTTATTCATTTCAAGGCTTCTTGAATTCGCATTTCGGGGTTCCAAGGCGCTCGAAGCTTTGAGTGGACGCCCGCCAGAGGTAACCAGGTCGACAACCGGTGACCAGTTGGGTAAAACACTGACTTGTTCAAGGTCAGTACGAGGCGCAAGCTGTGTATCAAATACATCAAATTATTAGCACACAAATAATCGTTGAGAAGGAAAAAGACGGAAAAAGAAGGAGCAAAGGAAAAAGGGGGGAGGGAGGTGCAGAGAAGTGGTATCCTCTCTGCTTCGTTTGTACCTTCCAAATGCCGCCTGGGCCAGAATCACCACCTATTATAAGAACGTCGGAGAAAACATCGTACGCAATAGTGAAAGCCGTGTTAATGTTGGTGTTGAGGCAGCCCACATTAGTAACAGAAGGGACTAACTCCGGAGCGTCGATCTCAACGTGAATTATGGCTCCATCCTCACGAGCTAGATAGATAATGTCAGTCTTTTCGAAATATTTCTTCCTGCGGAATGGCCTAGACCAGGCCGTCCAAAGTGGTTTGTCTGCACCGTGATGGAGAGGCGTTCGCCCAGGTGTATCCGTATCGAGGACCTCGAACACCGGGGAGCCAGAAAGACAGTTCTTCACGATACCAATATCTGGCTGGGAAACCGCGAAGAAGGCCGTGTTGAATCGAAGGGGTATGAGAAGAGATGGCATTCGATGCTCCTTAGGTAGCCTATTGCCAGCTTTCTCTTCGGCAAAGATTTCTTTGAGATTGTCCCCTACCTCCCATTCGTAGGTGACCATCCGGGAAACCGGTTCTGCGGATCGTCTTTCCCTTCTTGTTACAATCAGAAGAAGAATGATATGATAATCATCCTCTGGACGGGGATACAGGAACTCCAATTTATGAATCACGCCCTGTATAGAACGAATTCGAATCGATTTGACAGGGTCAAAAAAACCTTGTTGGCGATATTGTTGGTTGAGTCCGGCCATTGATTCAAATTCGTATATGACGAGGACGCCATCGGGCGAAGCTGCGGCCATGTACCGTGATGATGGATCAACGGATAAGTGATATCCAAAATAAGAGAGATTCTTGGGACTTTCTCGCTTATTAAACACAAATTCTAATGTTGAGTCAGGCCTTTCCCGCAGAAACATATACATGGTATCACCAGATTCTAGTATCAGAACTAGTAGTTGCGGTGGCAATCGGTGGCGGGAGTCAAGGCCAGCGTCGAGGGGGTCTCGCATGAGAATGTCTTGGTCCTCGCCTTTTACCATGTCGGCAGGGTCATCGTCATCTAACCCATGCTGGAAGGAGTCTCCTATCACAGCGGCTCCTCGGATCCTGGAGCCAAAATCACTTTTTCGTACAACCTCGTGAACTTGTCCATCTCGCCTAAGCTCGCTTATTTGCACAAAGTGGTCCTATTGAAGCTGTTAGAGATGTCGATACAAGCACACCATTCAACCGCGGATTGCAGATGAGCCATGGACGAAATCGTCCAAGAGGAGGGAAAGAGCCGCAGAACGTAGTATAAACATGCCCAAGTACTGTATAGCTCATTGCTAAGGCCAGAACCTAGTTCGGCCACCAATCTGAAAATGCATATGCTAACACAGCCTTGCCATAGGTAGAGGCAGCCGCACACTTATTGCAAAAAAGGGCGGAAGCGGAGGTTTGACGTGACTTACTCCGACAAAAGCTATGTCGTTGTGAGTCTCGGATCTCAAACGAACAGGAAGAATCCGGTGAACGACAGGGCTCTCTACTATGGTCCTGGACAAGATTCCACAGCTTGGTGGCTCCGGGTGAGCCCGTGTAGCGGATTTTGGAGTCGTAGATGCTTGCAGAGCAGCCTGGAGGTTGACAGTCTCGGTCACCCATTCGCCGTCCCGAAGAATGCTCGTTTGAAATGCCATGTCGTTCTAGGCATGACACTCGCCAGATATGCGTATGAATCCGAGGAGAAGCAGTTTTGCTCGGCTTACGCAGAACCTGAACGAGTACCGTTTGACGGATGAAGGGACATGGAGAAGCGTAGTGAAACGTGGAAAGCGTTGCTGAGCCAAGGAAGCATCTTAATGCCCAAGCACGATAATTCTTATCGGCCCGTACATGTAGCTAAATTGCGCTACAGCTCGTACTTTGTTCGAACGAGACGGATCGTTTTCGTGGCGGAAACAAAGACCTCGGTCAGGTTTTGAGGCACAAGGACGACCATGAACGGTATCCACCTGAGGGTAAGAGACTTAAGCGGAAATTGAACGTGAGAGCAATGCAGTAGAGAGGCTCAGGACAACCAACCAGATTTTGTCTGGAATGGGTAAGTATTCCAATTTCAAGAGGTCAAAGTCACAGATGGGCTCCCAAAAGACGTAGCTAAGAGAGGAGGAGTAGAGGAAGAGGTGGCACGGAGCGGGAGAAGATGCAGCACTGGGGGGAGAGTCACAGGCGTGCAAGATCTGAATGCAAATCCTGTCAAGTGCAAGTGCCCGGGACCAGACGACGTCTTGAGGAGTGATTGAGAGATATGGTCAAAGGGACCATGTGGTTTCTCTCTTTCTCCTTTTTTTCCCTGGGCTTGTTGGGCTCCAGATGTCCTCTTCCGTGCTTGGTAACCTGTAACCTGGCTAAGCTGGTGTGGTTGGTATTGATGGTTGGTCGTGGTCGGTGAAGTCTGGTGCAGCCGCTCTAACTGGCCGACATGCATGTAAACATCCAACGTGCAGCAGCCATGTTCAAATGTCGCAGTAGATGGGGTCTTCATTCAGGCATGGACCAGACGTGACGTGACCACATGCACCAACGTGCTGGGGGTCGCGCCGAACCACCACCGCTGCCGGGGACTGCAGTGTTTGCGACTTATGGTCTGGTGCCTGGCTGCTCAGCTTCCCAGTATATATAATTCCCACCAGACATACGCGCAGGTCACAGTGATCCTTCCTTTGCTTATTGAGTCTGGTACTTCAAGACTCAACACCGTTTGTTTACCTACCTACCTAGGTAGGTACTTAGGAATTTAGGTACATATGTAGACATTGTGATCCATCGCCAGCAGTTCTAAATCGGACATTCCACATTCGACACTGGCAGCCATCTCATGTGCAGAGCGGGACAGTACCCCCAGGACGCACTCAATGTTGGACCGACTAGACGCTGGTGGTTGGCGCCATGCGCTGTGAAGCGCCCGTCCGGTCTGGTCTGGTAGCAGTTGTTGACCAGTTGGACCCGTGAATTCGATGTTCCCAGCCTGCTTGAGCACTGTGGGCAAGCAACCCAGCACTTCGACGTAGTCGCTTGAGCAGGTCGAAACACCTGGTTGAGGCCACTTGTTTGCTCCAGATGCTGTTGGAGCACTTCGCCTTCTGTCACCAATTCACCAAAAAAATTTCATCGGATCCTCGACGTCGACTGATACCTGACTGCAAATGTGCATCACTGGGAGAACGCGACGACTTGCCCATAGGTCCTGACTCCTGAGTCTTGGATACGGCAGCAGTGATCATCGGGATCATGCATTCGGACCCAGAATCCAGCGAGAGACCGGCTCGCTCTGATGGCCGATGCCGCAGCCCAGCCATCCATCATGACTCTCAGCAAAGAACTGCACAAATATCATTGGAAGAAAAGGCCGAGGCGGTCCGTGATGCATGCAAGTGGAAGGACATCGCGAAACTGAGGTCTCTTGCAGAGTCCACAGGCGGATTCCTCACCGATGAGCTACGAAGATCAGCCTGTAGGTTTCGGCGTCGTTTGCCTCGCGGGTGATAGCTATGAATAAAATGCTAACGAGATGCCATTACCTCTTTAATATCAGGGCCTCTCCTGCTTGGACTCTCACCGGATCTCATGAATGATGGCGTCGATACAAGCTTCGATGCTCAAGAAGCTGTGGCCGACTGGGAACAACTAGAACCCCATCGCGATGAAGATCAAGTACAACTTGATGTCAACAGGTCCTTTATATACTATCCAAATGGTATGTCTCCGCTATCCCCATCCCTGTTAGTTAGTGACAAAATGCATCCCTTGATTCACCACTACATTTCCTTGCCGTGGCCCCGTTGATCTAACTCTGTCTCTTTTGTCTACAGACAAATCAGAGGCACAACTTAACAAGTGCAAGTCCGAGCTTTTGGTCCTTATCGTTGAAGTACTACGCCGTCACCCGTACCTCTGCTACTTCCAGGGATTTCATGACATCTGCCAAGTATTTCTCCTGGTATTACAGCCTGGATGGCGGGCACGCGTAGTCGCGAGACTTTCGGTCCTCCGCATCCGAGACTTTATGCTTCCTAGCTTGGGACCGACGACAGCACAATTGCGCTTGCTTCCCGACTTGCTGGCCAAAGCTGATAGCGAACTGCGCAAACATATTGCCACGATAGAACCATTTTATGCACTAGCGGGCACTTTGACCATGTATGCTCACAACATTGAGGCTTATGGCGATATTGCACGGCTATTCGACGTTTTCTTAGCTAGAGAGGCTGTCTTCCCAATCTATGTATTTGCCCAAATTGTCATGAGCCGAAGGAGCGAGATCTTGGATGTTGAAGAGCCAGACATGTTGCAGGTGATGCTCGCAAAAGTACCGCCCAACATGGACTTGGATTCCCTGATAACAAACGCCGCCAGCCTGTTCGATCAGTTTCCACCCGAGTCTTTACCTTCATGGCGGCGAATATCGAAATCGAGTACTCTGAAGACTGCTCGACACATCGAGACATGTGCAAATCAAACCCTTGATGATGGCCGCGCGTTCTTCGAACAGCAGGCCAAGGAAGTCCGATGGGTAGAGACACGGGATAGGATTTCGATGGCAGTCTGGAGATACCGCCGGCCCATCAGAGCCATTGGTATGACCACAGCTGTCGCCGCCATTGCTTTTTATCTGCGGAGAAATCCATCTGCAATTCACTATGTCACGTCTCTCTTTAGCACATTGAGTAAAGCTTAGATCTTGCTTGCATTGTCTCATGCAAAGAGAAATCAGGGAAACTGAAGAGAATTGACAGGCGTTTTTTTAGCCTGATACAGATATCTTCTGGTTGTGTATTATTTCCAGTTTGCCTGAAGATATATTACATATTTGTACTATTTGTCTCATCCGGTTAGCTGGAGGATGCTTGCTGGTTTTAAGATGGCCCTTACAGCCACTCCCTAAGTAAAGACTTGGGAATTAACCTAGTACAGTCTTCCTATTAGACGCCGTGCCCGTTCCCGCCTCCCCTCCTTTGGCAGTTCTCTGAACCGACGACAATGGTGTGAACATGCCACCAGGCAAGTGAGCATGGAAATCCTGCCTGCCTACTTCGACTGCATTGTATGTATATTACGATATTTCCTTCGCCTGTCGTGGTTCTACCGCAATATAGCGCTATGCATCAACTTCAAAGGCCAGTTTGAGCTTCTCAAAGTGCTCCTGCTGTTCCTTGGCCAACTTCCCCGATGTATCCCCGATAATAGTCATGATAAGGGAATAATTGTTATAAAGAAACCGATCGCTCTTACGCCTGTCACCGCCATAGGATAGACTCTGCTTAGCCAAGAAGGCCTCGAGTTCGGAGCGTAATCGCCGCAAGCTAGCAACGACTGGCTCATCATCTCCAGCATCAGCACAAAGTTCTAGAAATCCGTGCAAGAGTTGACCAAAGCGCTGAGTAATAACATGAGGCGCGGTTGTCATTTTTGCCACATCAGCCGCTGACCGAGTCAGTTTGCTGGGTAAACTGTTGGTTAATTGACGAACAGATTCGCAATGTCGATCCATGATGACCTGCAATCGTGGCCAAAGAAGCATGCTCGTGCCGTTGATGTATCCGTCCACCACAGGTACTTTACGACGCTGAAGCTCAAACGCAAAGCGTTGGTTAAGGCGAATACAAAGTAAAATACCTAAGGCGTCAAACGTCTCAGCTACCAGGGTCCTTGACAAGGTCTGGCCAAGCTCAAAGGTAGATTCGAATATGTAATTGAAAGTCTTCGAAATTTGGGAATAAGACAACGCTGGTGAAAAAAAGGTGGCTAGAAACGTGTACTCTGCTGTTGCGTTGTCGACTAACGCTAAATTATAGTTTCGAAACTGTACTTCCAGATAATGCGTGGCTTGGTCCTCTTCGGCCAGATACGAGGACATCGCCGCCTGATTGGTCGTTGTAAGAAGGTCTATGCGCCGCCCAAGATTGAAGGCATCGTGCGGCGGCCCAGTTGCTCGGGCACTCGAAAGAACGGCCGTCCTTCTCGTAGTATCATCATGGCCCAGAGTGTCTGTCTTATCAAGAACATGAATCTTGATCTTCGCTAGGGCTCGCTCGTATCTACTGAATTGGTTGTGGTAATACCATCGCATTGTGTTCATGTAGGCAAGGGAGATTTCGTCGGCGAGGGTTGCATGATGCTTATGAAGAAAGGAAAATAGGTCCCTGAAGCGGAGAAAGTTCTGTTGCTGGATGATTTGTGCGTTAATGTGTGGTGATCGAAGTGCCTTTATTTGCGCCACAAGAAAGTCCCGGATGCGCTCGATTGCCTGGATGAATTGTCAATTCACTGTCATTTCATTACAATGACCATCAAGCAGTCAAGCATACCTTTAATGTAAGCTTTTCTAACAGGGGGCCTAGTTCCTCAGACGCTTTGCTGTGTTGCAATGCAGATGATGTCTTCATCTTATACGCCGCCGTTCTCCTGTCCAACTCTGAGAGCATCTTGGCCCATGATTCGTCGATATGACCGGTTGATATTTTTGATATTACCTCGGGTGACAGGCTGAGCTCTTCTACTAGCGGACCTAGCGCCTTCTCAACCTCCTTGCGGTTCTCCAACCGCCGATTTAATGCAGTCGATCGCTCTTGCAAAGACTCAATATCGGCGGATACGGCGGCCAGATCATTCCGGAAATCAGCCAGGTTGATTTCGACAGAGTTGAGAACGTCGTCACAAGCTGTGATGGACCGATGGAGATCCTCAAACTTGGCACACTGCTGCTGGTCTTGTTGCCCGAATGTTAGTATTATTAGAATGAGGAGGGAAGCTGGCGTCATACACTCTTCAATGGTTTGCGGCTGCCACGATGCTGTCACAGCATGCTCAGGAGGGTGTGACGACGCCAGCTCTTTCAATTCAAGTCCGCCAAAGTCAAAATCGAGGTCGAGATCTGCTTCTACAATGGAGCTTGTCCTCGCCTTCGGTATCTCAGTATCGTTTTCAACATGACCGGGCTGCTTAAGAAGTCTCTCGAGGGTCTCTAGCGGGTCTGGTAGGTTCGGGATGGTTGATGAATGTCGCAATGAAGAACCGTTCGGTCGTCGCGACGTAGGAAGCAGCGATGTAGACGAATCATTGGACGCTAGGGACAACGACGAGCTGCGCGGAGAGTGACCAGCACGCTGAGACGTCAAATACGGGCTAAGGCTGCTCGACGTTCTGCGTGGGAGAGGCGAGTATGACCTGTTGCCAGGTTGGGGCGTGGACTGACCTGACGCACCTGATGGACCTCCAGCCAGTCTATCAAGCCACATGTTGAAGGTAAGAGGACCAAGCCTCCCAATTTCGTTGTGTAGATTCTATACGGCGGCGGCCATGGTACTTGTGCGGATGTATTTTCTTAGGTAGTCAGTCGTGACTTCTTGTCGCGATGTTCCCAGCAATTGTGTCGACGGCTTTTGCACAGATGGCCCAAGCGACTGTTTGGAGTCACTGCAGTAAGTTGTGAGGTGCTCATTGGTCCCATTTGCAATGCAAGCCACAAGAGTGAAGCAGGCTGAGCCACAGGGGCAGAACACCGCCGAGTAATTACTTAACCACTCCGTGTAAACTTTGGAACTTACTAAGGTAGGGCTGCAAACTCACGGACCCCGTTCGTTATGAGAAATTCTAGGACACTTTGGACGAAATTGCTTTTCAGATAGCGTATGGATATACAACTGTACACTTACGCGACGTAAATTATAACCGAGAGATGCTTCGTTTAACGAGCCGCCTCATTAGTACCTGCTTCATCTGGGCCCCGATATACAATGGTCTGGCACGCTGAACGGGCTGGGGTCCGCTTCTGCTGGCACCTGGATGACTAGAGTAGAAGACTAACTACTCCGTACACCTAGGTAGCTATTAGAAGTGTCAAATGCAAGAACTGGTCTCGACCCGCCCCAGGGCCCAATCACACCTGCGAAGAAGGGAAAAAACCTGAGACGGAACGCCATTTTCCCCTCCGTCTCTACATTGACTTCTCTCTCCTCCCACTTTTACACTCTTCTTTTTTTTTTCCTCCGCCCACTGTCCAGCACCATCACTGCTTTTCAGTGCCGGAAAAAAAAAATTAGAAAGGCATCGCTTTCGCTTCCTTTTCCTTCCGCCTCTCACAACTCCGCTTTCTTGCGCATTCATCACCATGGCTGACGAGGTAAGCTGCTGCCATTCTGACGGAATTGTTGATTCTGCTGCTGTATTTTTTTGCGCGGACCTTTTGGGCGGCGGGAAAAATTCACCCCGCATCCCCCTCATCGCTGCACTCAGTGTCTTGCCCCCCCCCCCCCCCCCC